GATGATGATGATGATGTCGACAAGGCAAGAACAAGAACAAGAAAATAGAACTTGAATCGAAACGAGTGCACCATGACGCTTTGGAATCCGGCTTTCAATGAAGGGCTGGGAAGTATTATTACAATTGGGTTGTGTTATTGCTTTTGATGATGATGATCGTGCACAGATTTTTACTCGCGTACATATATCATATACGGTATCGTCTCCGCAATGACGAATAGGTTTTCGAACATTCTCAATTCGGTGTCTATGATACCGTACCGGTACGTGTACGTGTACCGGTACGGCCAATATAAAATACTCACCGGTCAACGAATCATCAATGTTCGTTGACCGTGAAATATTGGCATAATCGGGGGACCCCTATTGTTTTGATTGGCTCCCCTTCTTCATCGCACGATACAGGATCATTGGAAAGTTATTATATACATTGTACAAAAGTTAGGAAAATTATGGTGGAAAGCTCCCACGACCAGTATCATAAAAGACTGACAACAGTCTATTCTCTGCCTATGGTGCTGGCCCAGCTTCAAGAGGTGCGGAAAATGATTATGTGCCTTCCCCGCCGACGCTTGATCTTCGAGGAGCCTCATTGGAATTTCTGTTGCCGAAACATAGTCTACCAAGGCAGTGCTCAGCGCAACCAGAAAAAATGAGAGCATTGAAGAATCCTTGTAAAGGCAGAATTGCAGCCACTGCAAGAGAGCGAGTCAATGAGTACAACGTGTATCAAAGCAACCAAATCTGACAACACCTCTTCGATTGGACTCACCTATCATATTCACGACTCCGGTATCCACATTTTCCACAGCTGGGGTCAAGGAAACGATTGCTGGCGTCCAAGTAAAGAAATATGCGGAAATAATGGCTACGCTTTTCGTGAGCACTCGCTTTTGCTGCCTACCATCACTTGCATTTTGACTCCACCTAGCAGCTTTGCGTTCGTTTTGACGGACAAACAAGTATAGCGATACCATCGAGAACAGGATCACCAACATGGCCAGCATGATCCACGCCATCGCAAAGATCGTCTGATAAATCAATAGCCGGTCTTCCGCAATACGGGATTCGCAGTAATCGCCCAAGAGAGGTCCTGCCTGGTCCGCATGACACTCTTCAATAGCCTCGTTTATCCAGCAGAAGCCTACAACGACGGGTGGGTGAGTTTCTTGATTTCATGGGTTGGCACTGGCAATAACTCAATAAAGGCCGTACCAACTGACATTGGATTGAATAGCCCTACTGCTCCAGCCCAAATTCCTGTAACCAAAGGTATCCCAATTCCAGTCCCAAAAAACACGTACTCCGCCTTTTCCATCTGCTTTTCCGTCCAAGCATATCGTACTACTAGAAGAGTTTGAATCGCAACATAGCCCGTAAAGAAAGCAGAGGCAGCCAAGCCGATGTGCATAAAGAAAGCTGCAAATTTGGATAAGGATTGTGAGAAGAATATATACAATGAGATATGACTTCCGATACGATTAACCTCGCATGACGGAATGAATCAAATCGTACCTTGCGCATTACATGTACCATCATTGCCAACGGCACGCGGAAACTTGACTTCCCACCGTTCATTGCTATAGTACCCTTCATAGTTTCCAGGTGGAGCTGTCGGTGTTGCCCAGCCAGCAACCATCATTGCCAGAGACGACATCAGATCAGCAATAGAAATTGCCAATAGTAATCGATTAAATGGGACCCGCATACTCTTGGAACGCCTTTGTTTGTTCCCAACCAAAGTGTATAGGACGTACACGGATCCAATGAATGAAAGAAATGCCGAGATTTGGGTCATTGTTATTATCGTTGTTGCACCTCTTTCAATGTGTTCCAAAGTGATGCTCGTATCCAAGATGAAGCGAGAGGTTGCATCAACGGTGACCAGAATCGAACCTGTTGCAATCGAAGATACCGTTTCATCGCCAAATCTGTTCTTAATTGCTGTATCAATAAAAGTATTGGTGAGAATCGTCTTCTTTTCCATATTTGACAACTGAATGACAGATGACATTGACATACCATCTCCATCGTCCAACGTGACGGTTGCCAACGCTAAAGTTGAGTCCAATTCTTCATCATACTTCGTAATAGGTACTAAATCGGTGTTTGCAATCAGCAAGTATTGCGCTGTGGGATACTTCTTTTCTGCAACCTGTGCCATGGTTGAATGTCGGCACTCTAGGTTTCCAGTTGTTTCAAAAGGATCGAAATACAAGGCAACTCCATAGAGTTTTTGGTCTATATTATTGCCTACATCCGGTTCTATGTCCAAATAGTCGGGTTCAACAATGGTTTCATTGCAAAGATCCCATGAAATCGTATACAGCCGAACTGTAGTATCGGATGTCCATCTCTTTCCAAACATTGCAGGATGTGCGACAAGTGTAGGTGTTGATGGGTCTTCAGATTGTCCAATCGTCATGACGAGGAAGAGTACCAATAAGTGTGCGAGACATGCTATCTGGATTGAAAACTTCATGGCGACTTGGTGATGGATGCAATCAAAGTGCAATCTTCAGGGAGTCTCCATGCGATGATGTCTGATTGATGACTTTCCTTCATTCAGTCTTGCATTTCTCAGGAACATACAGTATGTACGGTGATAAGTGATAATATTACCCTTTGGGCGCGATGAGTCGGAGGAATCAAATCCCCTCAACATGCAGCATACATTACCGGTACTGCATCCTACACATAGGTATATTCTTCTATTATAAAAAAAATGATATTATGATTAGTCCTGCCACCTTCAATCATGCTCGTTCAATTTTACAACTTGAAACTTTGACAGGAATTCACAGAATGCGGTGCACGAAAGACCAAAGATGTACTTCGCTTCAAAACGAAACAGTAGTTCCGCTACCAAAGTTCAAAAGTGTACTTTCATTCAAGGAAGCTATGACCGTAATAGCGATAAAAGATTTTTCCGGGGTGTCGTTTCGCCACGAAAATGACGCACAAAAACCCTCTTCTCTAATTACATTTCAAAAATCGGAGTTGCCTTGCGACTATTACACGTGTCCGAAAAACTCCCCAACAGAATCATCGTGTCACACACTTTTCAGAACTGCCAGACAAAGGACACATAAAAACAAAAACAAGAATACCAACATGTGCAGAGCCATTCGTCAACGTGATCTATCTACCAAGATTAATTTCCTCCAAGACGTTGTTGGAGACAGCCAATATGATTTCCTCATCATGACCTTCTGCGATAGTATCTTTGAAGATTCAGACTTGAAATTCTTTTTCCAGGGTTTCGATGTGGAAGTGATGGCCGCTCTCATGAAGCGATTGCTGAACATTACCTTCCAATCGTCATCCAGAATCGATATCTTTGACGAAGATACTCGGTCCAAGATTGTCCTTCGAAACTACGCACTCTTTGAAATGGGCTTAAACGAAAAACAGTTCGAAAAGCTCGAATCCCATTTTGAATTCGCTCTGCGCGATGCTTGGCTGGACGCTGAGCTTGTCGATGAATGCAAGCAACGATTTAGTGATCTACGAAAGGTTTTCCAGATGGAGGGCAAAGAATTCGAGCACGCTGCCATGGCGAATCGAGTAGTGGCATGTCAAATGATTCTAGCTGCTGCCTCATCATCATAATCAGACTGGATGGCACTTTCTCGAAATTCCTGCTATTCCATGCTATGATTGTTAGTCAAATTTGTAAACTTCTTCTAAATCGATCTACTTCTACAAATATACTTTGAGTCCTATTACTGTACCCCTTATTATTGTACGTGTGTATGAAAGCATGTTTCGTCGCAACACAACCTAGAGACCAATGGAGAATAGGAGAAGTAGAGACATTAACCTTCAGCACTTTTATTGTATTGCATTTGCAGGCAGCTACTGTATATATAATCACCAGTCACCACAACCGCACATACCATCAGCGTTAATAGCAACAGAGAATCACAGTGGCCGTGAAACAGGTAGCCATACCATATTCAATATTCGCAGACGTAATCAGTCAGATATACACATTGTCTAAGAAATGGATCACGTTGAAGCTGACTTAACTCCCGGTCAAGAATGGCAGCAAGCTGTGAGCAACACTTGCAATCGCCTCTCAACGCAATATCTGAACTTGCTAAAGGCAGCGTCGTCTCTCCCGGCTTTGGAATCCGGGGGAAATCCGGGTGTCACAGTTGCTACTGGTGTTACGGGCTCAGCGGTGGATCCTACTGGCACTAGCACCAAGACAGGCGCATCCGCAACAGCCGCATCCGGAAGCAGTAAATCCACATCTGATCCACGAGCGGGTGGTGGCAATATGAATTCTCTCCAGGATCCTCCTCCGCCACCATTGGCAGCCAACGTTGCCTTGAGTTCTCTACAGTGTCAATTAGCAGTGGAGAACTTGTGCGTAGCCGCATCCCAACTGCTATCCCTAATTCGTACGTTGAGATTGAGTCTTTTGCTGATGGATGAAGCTACAATCGTGGCTGAAGAAGAATGGCAAGTCGAACAAGTCAGAGCGATTACGGAGAAAGCTATGCAAGAAGCTGACGTTCTTGAACAGAAGTGGATGGAGTACAGAAACCAAGAGACGAATTGAGCTACTCAATTTAGTGATCTTCAGCAAGTTGCTACGATTGACCTGCTTTGGTCGAAAGCATAGAGGTTGAATAAGTCTTATCTAGTATAACATGTTTTCTATTTTTCCTATACACAATGTAATCCAATGGATACGAGGCCCACCTCAGACGCAACAAGGATGGTTTCTTTTTCATTCCCAAGTCAGAATTGGTTCGAGACCTAGTTGGCTTCAGGCTTCTCGAGACCTAGTTGGCTTTAGGCTTCTCCCACTGCGCTTTCCTAGTCTTGGTATTCCAATAATAATAGGTACCATCGTTGGCAATATTGCGAGCCCAATCTTCAGGCAAGATGTCTTCGGGATCCACTGGAAATGGTTCGAGGATATTTCCCTTGGCATCGACCATATCCGAAAAGTCTGGAAGGTCGACCCATGCCACACGAGCCTTGCGGTACCAATCATCAGGCCAATCATGGACAATGTTCTGATACTGGGCTTCGATGTACCATGCAATGCGTTCGGCTTGATCGCTTGTATCATCCAGAGCATCGGCATCGTCGTCCGCAGATCCATCATTTTCGTCATTGGGCGGATTGAGCAACAAAATGTGAGTTTGTACCAGATGCTTCAACTCCTCCAATCGTTCTTCAGGATTCTCCAAGAGTTCTCCACTGTAGCAGTGGTCGTAGTGAAAGCAGTGCATAAAGGTATACTGTTGGACCGTCTTGAGGTTCTTTGCCAACAGCATCTCATTGACGCCATAGGCTCTCATGCGATTGTTCGAATCGGTCCAAAAAATATCAAAGAGTTCTTCTTGAATCAAATGGGCACTGTGCGGGTCTTCAGTGTCTAACAACAACCGTTTCTATTGATAGGCAACGAATGAATCAATATGGACGATAGGCATGATGGAATCATCGGGTCGGAGCACAGTACAAATATGAGACATTCTGCCGAATTGCACTGATTGATCGATCCAATTTTTTAGAGGAATGAGTCAGTCGTACTTACATGAAGCATCCAAATGTGCATCGTCAGAATGGCTTGGTAGCTGCGAAATTCCTTCTTGATTCGACCGGGACCATACCATCGTCTGTAATAATGGAGTGGGAAGAGTCGACAAAGTTAGATTCAATTCATAGAAGAAAAAAATACATGGCTCCTGTCACATCAGCAAAATAAGGGTCAAACAAGACATGGCCTCGAATAAACATTCTCCATACTCTAAGCTTCCGGTTGCGATACAATTACTCACGGATCAGATGCTTGGGTAATTGCTGCTTCCAAGAAGGATTCGGCAATTAGAATACGGTTGGTTTGTCTGCTGATGCTGTGTCGATCAAATAACTTTTGAAAGATATTCTTGTCACTTTTATCAAGCAATGAGGTCTGTTCTTCCACGGCTTGTTCATTTTGTTGATCATTTCCAGAGTTAGCTGCGGTCGAAAAGGTAACCGAGCTTCCAAATGGGGGAGACGATGACGTCCAACTGGTAGAAGTTGTGGATGATGTGTCGGTTGCAGTGTCAATGCTAGCCCATTGCGAACAAATGCCACCAACGTGTCTCGGTATGCGTCGAGTTGCGGTAGAAGTCAATCGAGATAGCATGGTTATGCTGCGATTATGAAAGAAGTGATATGTTACTGGCAAATGCTGCAAATACAACTAGTGTCATGCAATATATATGGTTGTCGATCCACACTGTGCGGTGTATGATGTGAGTCAGTCGCAGTCAGATGATTCATTGTTTTCTTCTCAAGAGACGATGTATGTCGGTCTGTCTGGCCGTGGGACAATGAGAGTTTTGAAGTTAAGAGACGATGGACAGACAATAAGTTTGGGAGGCTGCCATAACACGGACTTTTGGAGTACTTTTTATTATTATACCTTTTGACTACCGGTACCGGTATCATACCCATACTGCAGTGATGATTCATGATTGATTTGAAGTGATTTCGCTTCCAAATCTAAAGCGCCTTCCAGTGACCGTCGTTGAGATAAATCAATTACTCGCTGGTTGTGTCGAGATATCAATCTCCAAAGCCTTTCGGTACAGCTCCAAAGCTCCATTAAAGTCATATCGTCTTCGATGGACAATTGCCATATTATTGTAAGTATCTGCGACTGATGCATTCTTTTCTCCACAATAATTTTTGCTTGATATTCAGCAACGATTAGTACCATTCCAGCGCTATGCCAAACGAGGATTGTTCCTCCAAAACTATGCCCATTTTGTTGTGTACGTTTTGGCAGAGAAAAAATGTTGATCACGCCTCAAAGCACTTTGTTTTTATTTCCAGCGCTCGCTGGTAGAGCTGCCAGCCAGGTTTCAGCCAATCATCCTTGTTCCTGTTTCAAACTACCCATTGCGTGGTGTGTGTTGGAAATGGAGGCATGCTCGGCTCCACGGTGTTCCAGTTTGATTGCCACGGAGCTGGTTTCGGACAATTTCAATGCTTCGTCCAAGAATCGATCAGTCACCTCTAGCTAGACATTCTATCCATCAAGTGGACGATGCGATCATCAACAATGACAATAATCAATATACTATGTACCGGTACATATACCGGCTACGAGTTGGTATAAGCGAAAAATAATAGAAGACATCTGAGGTACATTTGACCCTTTGGACTACTATGTGTTACATTTCAATTGTTTGCAGACATTTGATTCATTCTAGTACTCTACTGGCTCGTTTCAAAGACAGGGCCAAATGCTTTGGACATGCGTATAGAGTACAAATTGAAGAACATTCAAATTAGTTTGATTTTCCTATTCCCTGTCATGAGGTCTTCCGCATTGGATCGTTTGTCATGGACGCATACTGTCTGATTCCATGCCCACCATCCACATCTAGAATGACACCAGTGGCAAAAGGTGCCGTCAACAAGTAATAAATTGCTTCGCCCATATCTTTAGGCTCGCCAACACGTTGCAAGGGCAATGAGGCAGCCGTATTGGCCAACATTTTTTGCTTTCGTTCGGCTGTCAAATGGTCAAAGCGTTCAGTATCGCAGAACCCTGGACTCAAACAGTTCACCCGTAATCGTGGACCCCATTCCAACGCCAATGATTTCGTAAGAGCTTCCAAGGCACCATTGGCAATTGCTAGTGGGACGCAATTGAGACCTGGTCGACGATTCAAAATACCAGCCACCAGAACCACACATCCACCATGCGTCAGTTTGGGAGCAAAATACTTGGCGCAATTGTAGGCTCCCCAGAACTTTGATTCCATCATGGATCGACTTTCAGACGTCGCAAGCTTCATCATGGGACCGTGGGGAGCTTTTCCCGCAGCCGATATGACGAGACCATCCCATTCATTGTCATTGAGATCCTCCTTTGCAAATCTCTCCACTGCCTCCTCGTCAGTCATGTCCAGAATGGCAATATCCACGTCGGCACCCTCTACTTGTTCTACCAAGTATTGTTGTGCCGTTAGTAGTTTTTCTTTCGACCGACTTATGAGCAGACATTTGCCTCCCTTTTCCACTGTACACAATGCTGCCGCTTTGCCCATTCCTGAAGATCCACCGACCACGATGACATTTGGTGGGGCTCTTCTTGAAGACGAAGCAACCGATTCATGGGATGAGGAAGCAATGGCTTGGAGTGAGTGAAGAAGAAGTAGTCGCAGCAGAGTTGTGTGTTTGAAAGATATCCTTGACATGATGATGGTAGCCAATAACCACGACGTTATTGCATGCGATGATAGTTGCGTGCTATGATATAAAAAATAGCAGACAAAACAACCGCATGACGTCATCACGAACCGAAAAGATATATAGTAGGACAGACCAAAATGATCTCGTAGATATATGTACATATCTAACGTTCGATGATAGATGGGGTCAAAGTACATGCCGGTATACCCCACCCCACTTCAGATGTTTGCACGCATATATTACCTGTACCAGTACACATAAACCCGATTTGCAAGAAGCGCCTCCAGTGAAGCATGTGGAGGAGAATCAAGGGTAACGCTTCCAGCACAGTCAAAAGGCATGACTATGTTTTCAAAGAGGAGGAGGACAGCCAAAATATTTTTTTAAGTAAGGATCGATAAATATCTATTCGCCGGATCCACTGCTGTTCGATGCAGGGTGGAGTTCAAAACATTCCGTATCATTACCTATAGCCATAACTATCGAATGCCGCCCAGACGAGCATGATGAAGGATAGTCGGGCATAGTACTCATGAGCATGGCTACTTTCTGGGCGCCCCTCGACAGCTTCCTCTTGTGTCGAGTCCGTGGCTTCCTCTTGTGTCGAGTCCATAGCTTCCTCTTGTGTCGAGTCCACGACTTCCTCTGGAGTAGAGGGGCATCCTGGGTATTTTGAATAGTTGCCTAATCCGGGTTCACATATGGTTGTGTCAGACTCTCTGCCCATTGCCTTGTCACGCATAAAACCTTTGGCGACGCAATTTCGGTGGTACAGCGGAACATTATCGAGAGGGACATCGCATAACTCGTTGTAGTCCCAATAATCGCAATCAAGTGAGTATTCGCACATCAAACTCTTTGTGCAGTTGAGGCCCGTAATCGGCGAATCGAAAGAGGAGCCTATTCTTCCACTCGGCTTCGGACAACGCCATCCTATTTCAGGACCTCGTCTTGTATAGAATTCCGCTAAGGCAGCGTCTTGCTTATTCGTCATCACTTCACATCCGTCGTAGTCTATCCACGTCTGTGGCGCGAATATATCCCCCGATTTGTTCTCATGGAACATTCGTATGCTGTTCGTGATCTCAAGAAGCTCTTCAATACTGAAACACTGTGTCCCATTGTTGGCATGCGGGCATTTACTTGAAACGGACTCATCGCTGTTGCACCTGGTAAACTGCACAAATAACAGAACAGCGGTCGTTGTCAATCGTTTGTATAGCCTCATTGGTTTTCCATTTACAAACATCTTCACAGATATAATCTTCTCTCTATTGCTGGAGTAAGCCTAAATGCAATTGATTTGCTTGATTTGTGTGCTTTTTGACGCGAAGCTACAACTAGTCAACCGGCGTATCATCCATATAGTCGGAGAATGAGTGGAAGCCAACGCGGCAGACGAGATGCATCATGGTACGACTAATAACAGGCCGTGTATAATAGTGATGTCCTCAAAGATGTCGTGCAGATTTTGTCCATTAGACCGATCATGACGTCACGAAAGATCCAATCTTGGAACTTTCTTTCATCATGTGTGGCACATGATTGCGTTGTCCGTTTAGTCTTTCCCGGACTCCTCTCGCATCGAAGTCCCAAAACGTGCATAAAAATCATTCCACAGTGGATGTATGAAATGCCAAGGGGTGATGTTTCTCAAGGGTTCACGATTTACGCACTCACCGATGCGGCAAAAGATACTATGATCCACCCTGTTTCAAAAGCCGTCTTATCTAGGCTGACCGCGTATCCCAGAATAGCCTCGTGGGAGCGGTATCCAAAATAATACCATGGGTGTGTTGTTGGAAGCTCCAGAGCAGCTCACTGACGACAAACACGAAGGAGTGAAGGAAGTCGGCGGCATGGCGTCATCTTCTTCAGAGCCCATCAATGGTGGTGAAGAAGGGGAAGAAGAATCAGCTCCGAAACTTGTGGCCAAACAAAAAAAGAAAAAGAAAGCTGGTTCCAAACTGCTGGGCAACGAGGAAATCGGTGAAGCTGCAAAATGTTCCCAAGACGATGGCAAGCCCAAAAAGAAAAAGAAGAAGAAGGTAAAAAAGAAGAGTCCTGACGATGAGGATGGAACCATCCCAAAGAAGACCAAGAAGAAGAAAAAGAAGATCAAGAAAAAGACAGCAGTAGAAGAGGAAACAGTTCCCTCCTCAAAAGTTATTGAAGGTGATGAGCAGGTTATGCCGAAAAGTGCGAACAACAATCCGACCATGGTATCTTCCATTGATGAGTTGCAACAATACGATGACATCTTCGAGAACCCACATGACGCGGTCGAAAGCGAATCAAGCACTACGAAGATGGAGGAAGTAGAGCCACAAACAAAGATCTATAAACCTATATTTGGCGGTCGAGGTAGTTTATCCAGTACAAAGAAACCAGAATCACTCCCGGACACGGAATCCATTCATAGCAAGCTTAGTGAGTTTGAAACAGCTTGGCGAGAAGCTGATAACTCGAAACAAGAAAATGAAGAGGAGCCTGTACCACCAGATGACGAAGCCTTCAGTCTGGCAGAGACGATTTTGGACTCCGCAGCGTCGGGTGGTGGAAGTACGTTCAACTCGCATGGTCAATACGCGGTGATCTCAAATACAATGGCTTCAGAAGAGAAGGCTAAGGATCTCCGTCGACAAGCAATCAGTCTTGCTGCCGCAGAAACAAGACTGCGAGCGGAAGCAAGAAATCAAATGGTGGGCAAAAGTGACAGCAACACTGTCCACCACGGGAATTGGCGCCTTCCAGACGGTGATGACGGCACTGAGCAACCCGTATCTGCTTCTTCCAGCAGTAGGATGATCCCAACATCACAAGAAGGAAAGCAGGCATACTTCGAAGGCGTCAAGGCCGCCTCAATCCTCGATAACAAAAGACATCAGCCAGGCGCGTTCCGCGTTACTGGATCCAACGACAATGCTAGCAATCCTGCTGGAAATGAGGAAAACGACGTCGTTGTAGCAGCCGTCACCGAAGAGGACGAGGCCCAGCTTGAAAAACGGGTAATGCAGCGACTTCTCAAGGAGACAGCCCAAGCTTCTGTCATTCTTGTGGAGCATGGTGGCAATAGCCAGAAGTATGAAGATCCGATTGCAGAAGCAGGGCGCCAAGCTGAATTGGAAAATTACAAGCCACAAGGTCTCGTAGAAAAGATGTTTGGGGTCGGGCAAGTTCCAGTGGATGTCGGTGCCGCTCCTGACGATCTCATTAAGAGAAGGAATCATATTCCATTCACAATCAAGCTGCATGGAACAACCAATTTGTGGGTGACGTCCATTCAGACAAGCCAAAAGGCTTCGGACTCATCGCAATATATGTATGAGAAATCATCACTCGAGTTAAAGCGGTCCGTCAAGACATACATTGCAACGACAGAACAAGAAGCATACGAAATTGGACTTGCAATGGCACCTCCCATTATGAACTCGCATGATGAGAATCCTATTTGTCAGCTCTGTTCCACGTAAGTCTTTGTTGATTGCAATCCACTACTCTCTGAAGCCACTGCTCTTAACCCAATTACTTTCTTCCGCAGTAAATTTGCTCTATTGAAGCGTCCTTCTCAATGTCGCAATTGTGGGGTCGTTGTTTGTTCCGGTTGTGCATGTAGCTGGTCTTCGAAACAAGTCCCATCAACTTACAACATGGAGAATCGGTCGACTATGAATGTTTGTGTAGCTTGTGATTGGTTGGCTACCAGTTTTCGGGAGGCGTTGTTGAAGGGCGATCTAGCGTGTGCACTATCACTGTACAAGTCAGGCAATGTGAACCTTCGCAAGTTGCATGTATCCAAAAAGAAGGGAATGATGGGCGATGAAGCAATGTATCCGATACAGATGGCAATCCGTGGAGGCAACTTGTCACTCGTCAAATGGTTGATGTTTGAACACTATTGTCCACTTTATGAAAGCAATAGCAAGGGAGATCGGGGACTTCTAAAGACATCCAAGGGGCGGACAGTGGTTGATCTGGCCTTGGAACAATCCAAACCCGAAATTTTGAAGTTCTTGGTAACCAATCAGGGAGTGTCTTTGACACAAGAAGCCAAGAAGGAGACTCGTGACTCCTTGAAGCATTTGACGTGTTTAGTCCAGTTGATTCCGGAGACAATGCTAGCAAACGTGTCGATCGATGCCGCTTTGCCAACAGGTGCAAGCGAGCATGTTGCAGAGTTACCAGAATCATCGAGGATGAATCCGAGGGAGGACGAAGACCAGTGCGCCTTTTGATCTCAGTAGATATATATATGGAAATAGATGTAGACATAAAGTAGTTTTCTCAAATAGTGTCAGTGTACCGGAAATCTTCGATTCTGTCATGACTGAAATTTGCAAGTACGCATAGACATTTCATGGCTGCTGCTGCAGAATATCGGGCGTTGGTTTACTTGATCAGTGTCCCGTACTCATTGTGGAACTGTGGAGGATTCGGCGGCACCAAGAGTGGCAAAGATTTCGGCCTGTCGCATCTCATTGCTTGTGTACTCACTTGCGAACTGGTCGATAGCATCCATTCTTCCATTTCTCTGAAGCAGGCCGAACATGTTTCGAAGAATAATCTCTAGCATACCGTTCAGATTTCCTGGATCGTCAGTACCTGAACAGATTTCGAAGGCTCGCTCGTAGGATTTCAGCGATGCATCCACTGCAGAAGTCTGTTCAAGTATAATAGCAATGTTGTTGTGGGCCTTGACCAACATGCGCAGTTCGGCATGGCTCGCTTCTCTCAAAGATTCAAGTGGCTCGATTGAACGCTGGTACGCATCGATTGCGTCTTTCTATTTACCAATTTGTTGATGCACAAGTGCAATATCCTGCAATGTGCCAACAGCAGAGATGTGCCTTGATCCGAAATTGCGAAGCTTGATTCCCAACAATTTCCGATACTTGTCCAAAGCAGCCTCATGTTGATTCAGATTCTGTGAGAGCAAATTTGCCACGGTTTGATCAACATGTGCAACTGACAAAGGATCCTTTCCAACATCTCGTTTGAATATTTCTGCCGAAAGAGAATACATGCTCTGAGCCGAAGAAATTTTCCCCATATCCTGATATACGAGACCAATGTTGTGGTATATGGTGGCAACGGAGAGGTGGAGATCGTCAACACTATCTTCTGCTCAGTATTGTGCTCCAACTCGACAATCTCGACGCTCTCCAGCGATATCGTGTTGCCAAGTAGCGACTTGGCTAGTTATTAGAGGTCTATACCTCCTTCCAAATCTCCTTTTCGGTGCCGCGCTGCGGCCAGGTTGATGTATGACTCTGCCACAGATGGGTGGTTTTCGCCCAGTCGCATCTTTTTGATCTCGATTGCCCTTTCGTACATACCGACAGCTTCATCCCCTTTGCCTTGTTGCTGCTGGAGGAGGTTTCCGATTTCATTGTACACACTTCTCCAAAGACCTTTCTGTAGAGTTCCAATGCTTGGAAGTACAAGGTCGATGCATCGTCATTATATACTACGCATCGATATCGCGTCGCGCATATTCATTTTGAATTTATTGTTTTGAATTTTGGGTTTCTTCTCTCTATCTCTCTGTTTCTCCAAAGTAAAGTCCAGCACCCCCCGATTGACAAGAATCGTATCAGTCGTCTGACCTCAGATTTCACAAAGCATTTTATTGTACGTTGTTATTGTCTCATCATCGTCGTCATTGCCGCATCATCTTCGATCCTAATAGCTATCAGCTCTGTCTCTCATCGCTCACCTACCTAATCATATGTACACGATAACTATACAGCCATAGGAGACAGACTGACTGAATCACTCTCACAAGAAGATGGATATTCAATCGCTGGTCGAGTAACACAACGACAACCACAACGAAAACAATAATACTGACTGATTATTGGCTGGCTGCAAAATGCTTGATATTCAAT